GGTTGCCAAAAAAAAAAAAAAAACCTTGCGCAAAAAGAAACGGCAGAAAATATGCTAATGAGATTGCGACTTATGCTAGTGAGTCCCTCATTAGGATATTTTCTGCCGGAAGAACTTGCAGTGAGGATGTAGCCTCAGTGCATGTTACTGTGCTTAGAGCTGGATACTGTATAACTGTAACTGGGGCAGGCTTCTGCTGAGGAATTGAGCTAGTTTTCTGGGTATTTAGGTTCCAAGGAACCATCCTACCCAGGGCTGTTCTAACCCATATAGGTGAACTAGACAGTTGCCTACTATGCCACTAAGCTTTAAGGGGTGTCAAATTACATGGAAGTGATTTTTTTTTGCTATTTAAATATTAATATGTTATCTCTTATAAATGAAAGTATCAACTATTGTACTTCCAACCAGTGGTGAATCAGAAGTTGACTTATATTATTTATTTCACATTGTGGAACACAACTGTGTATGTGACTACAGTTAACTATGTCACGGCATAGCTTCGAAAGAGCACAGTCTGGGTTTGTTGCCTGGGGCAGTGTGTGGCAGTTCAGTTATTCTCAGTAGCCCAGTGTTGGCCAGTCATACAGTTGAGCCATTGTTGCTCGCCGCTTAGTGAAGGGCAGTCCGTGACCTGTAACGGCCGTTCTGCTGCGTTACAAGTCGTGATCTTGAAGATGCTGTGTCCATGAAAAAAATGTTGTGTTGAACTTGAAAAAACTTGGTAAGAGGTCTTGACAAGATTATAAAAGAAGACTCAAAAGCACTTGTAAGATTAAGATTGTGTATTAATTATACTGTCACTGGAAAAGTATTAAAATGTATTGAAAAATTAGCTGTGTTTGATCCAGTCAGAAAGGAACATTAGCGTAAAATAAGTGACTGTGAAGCTCATGTTCATTACCTTGGAAAAACTGCAGAATGAGCTGATGGAACTCCTAGCAAATGCTACTAAGGAGAAAATCTTAGAAGCTGCCCATTCTGCAAAATACTTTTTATTAATTTTGGACCTTGCACCAGATGTGAGTCATATCGAGCTGCTGACAATGATCATTCACTTTTCAGATGCAGCAAAAGCTACACTTGAGGATAATGCTGAAGTGATCATAAAGGAACTTTGAGGGGGAGGGGGTTTGTACCATTGAAGGAGGCAACTGGTGCTTTCATGACTGAATATATTCTCCAAGACCTCGAAGGAATGTCTATTATCTATTGAGAACTTACATGACCAAAGCTATGACAATGGGAGGAATAATGAAGGGTAAAGACAATGATATACAAAAGAGAATAATAGAAATGAATATCATATGTTTTTTGTTCCATGTAGCGCACGTTTCCTGAATGATTGTCAATGATGCTGCCTGATGTTATTTGGTGGCAAATAGTTTCTTTGACTTTGTGCAATGTGCACATGTGTGGTTTGTTTTTTTCCCCCCCAAGTTCAACACACTGCTGCCCATGTGCATTTTCAAACTCTGAAACCATTGAGTCAAACAAGATGAGAGTATAATGCCTTGAAGACTTTTCGGTATAAGCGTGGAAATATCTATGATACACTAGTTGAAATGTCTGATGATCCTACCCTGACAGGATAGGACCTAGAGAAATGATCTGAGGTAAATAGGATGAGGTTTAATGAGGACAAATACAAAGTACTCCACTTAGGAAGGAACAATCCATTTCACACATGCAGAATGGGAAGCGATTGTCTAGGAAGGAGTACTGCAGAAAGGGATCTAGGGGTCATAGTGGATCACAAGTTAAATTTGAGTCAACAATGACACTTTTGCCAAAAAAAAAAAAAAAAAGGCAAACATGATTCTGGGATGCATTAACCAGAGTGTTGTGAGCAAGATACGAGAAGTCATTCTTCTGCTCTACTCTGCACTGATTAGGCCTCAGCTGGAGTTGTGTCCTGTTTTGGGCACCACATTTCAAGAAAGATGTGGAAAAATTGGAGACAGTCCAAAGAAGAGCAACAAAAATGATTAAAGGTCTAGAAAACATGAGCTATGAGGGAAGACTGAAAGAACTGGGCTTATTTAGTTTGGAAAGGAAAAGACTGAGGGGGACATGATAGCAGTTTTCAAGTATCTAAAAAGGTGTTACAAGAAGAAGAGAGACAAATTGTTCTCCTTGGCCTCTGAAGATAAGAAAAGAAGCAATGGGCTTAAATTGCAGCAAAGGAGACTTAAGTTGAACATTAGGAAAAACTTCCTGCCTGTCAAGGTGGTTAAACACTGGAATAAATTACCTAGAGAGGTTGTGGAATCTCCATCACTGGAGGTATTTAAGAGCCAATTCGACACCTACCAGGGATAGTCTAGACCAGTGTTTCTGAAATTGTTCTGCAGAATCACTTTCAGAAAGACATTAACTGGCCGCCCCGGTTTGTTTATGTACCGGTGCTGCATCCATGGAGCCTTGCGGCTCCCATTGGCTCTGTTTTGTCCTTTGGAGCCAAGGGAAGCAATGGCCCGGCCTACGCCACTTCTCATGTCTCCCCTTGGCTGCAAAGGATGAAATGGAGCCAATGGTAGCCACAAATCTCCATGGCTGCGGCACCGGTACATAAACAAACCGGGGCAGCCAGTTAATGTGTTTCTGAGAGCGATTCCATGAAACACTTTCAGAAACACTGATCTAGATGGTGCTTGGTCCTGCTGTGAGGACAGGGGACTGGACTTCATGACCTCTTGAGGTCTCTTCCAGTTCTAGGATTCTATGATCTGTCAATATGGTGTGTGCAGATACAGAAGCTTTTGCAAATTCAAATGTGTAGTTTCACTCTTTTTGTGGTATGATATCTTATTTGAAATTAACTTTACCAGTAAGAAACTTTGGGCAAAGGACTTGACATACATTGTGCTATACCATAGCTGCAATAGACCAAAACATTCCTGGCAGAATGCAGAAGTGCTGAATCATTTGAAAAGACAAGGGTAGATGCTTGTTGAACTACCAAACAGACTTTGAACTAGAACCAGCCTGTTTTTGGAGAAAGAAGCAATAGTTCACATACAAGGCAAAAAATAAATGCGTTCAAGATCCAAAACAAAAATTCAAAGTAAACTTCTATTTTTCAGTCCTAAATACAGCGATCCAGTCACTTAATGAACGATTTGCGCAGATACAGCAACTTGATTCAGTATTTGGTTTCCTCAACAATGTGCACAGTTTGCAAAATAAGACTTCAAAGCAGATATTAGAACATTGCTAGAATTACAACATGGAAATTCAAAAGATATTGATGCGGTAGATTTGTGCAGTGAACTAAAGGCTATTTCACAGCTACTTCCAAGCTGTCTTACACTTCAAGATATACTGAACACAGCCTCGCAGCTTTCCCACCATCCTCATTGATCTTTGAATTCTCTTGGCTCTTCCAGTTTCTGTTAGTGGGGAGTGTAGCTTTTCAAAATTAAAATTGATAAAGACATGCCTTTGTTCTTCCGTGCTGAAAGAGAGACTCTTTGGACTGGCCACCATCTCAACAGAACATGAAATGTCTGAGACAAAGTTTCAAAGTTAACTTATTGCCCAATTTGTGAAAGCAAAAGCACAAAAAGCAACGTTCTAAATGTTTACACACATCAATGGCAAAAGGGTTACAACTCAACCAGATTTCATTCCGTTTCAAGGAACGATATGAATGGATATTCATAGCTTCCCAAAAATCAGTTCTTTTTGAGAGAAAGACAGTTGCAACTGTTTATGGCAGTGACCCAAAAGACTGTGTACAAGTCAAAATAGTTAAAACGTTAAAGTGTCATCTCCAGAGCGGATCAATGAAAAGTAGAAAAAATTCAATACCTATTTTTATTTTTAGGTTATTTCGAATGCCAAGTAAATAGAGGTGAAATTTGTATGACAGGTAGCATTTGGAAGTGCCATTGACATCATAGCCCCACTGTGCTTGCTGCTGCCCAAACGCTCAGTAGCACACAGTCCAGGCTAGCATAACACAGCCCTGGTTTCAGCTGGGGCCTCTGAATGGTACTGTAATGCAAATAGAGCTCTTGAGGTCTAAATTAAGGCAACAGAGAGCCTGGGTGGGGCACCAGAGGCACAGGTAGATAAAATAACTTGCCAAGGGTTCTACTTCAGGCTGAAGGCAGAGCCAGGAATAAAGTAGTAGTCTTGACGCCAGACCCACCGGACCAGGCTGCCTTCCACAAGGGAACAGCGCTGACTGCGGGATCCATGAGCTACGTTATAAACCGGGATCATTTTGCTTTTTGTGGTCTCAGGATTATTTCTCTTTTGGTGTGAGGTTTTGAGGGCTCTCTTCATTCAGAGGAGGACAGGCAGACATGGTAGCATGTTCCTTGCTCTGCTTGCTTGGCAAGCAAACTCGCCAGACCTTTCCAGAGCTATGACTAGCAGATATTGCTCCTGATTGGGGAAGGGAGGAAGGCGGAGGGAAAGCTTGTACTTCCAATAGCCACCTCAAGCTGTTGCCTCCAATTTCAGATACTCCTTGAAGTAAGAAAGATTAGCTGAGTGAGTAAACCGAGCCCCATTCCCTGACTGGAGCCAAACTATGTGGATTATTAAATGGCTGAATCTCGTAACCGATAAAGAACATTTCCTATTCCAACTGTGCTATAAACAGCTGCCTAAGACCTAAATGCAGGTCTTGTATAATTTTACCTAGTTCAAGCCACACAATGGGAGTTTTTTTTTTATTATTATAAAGCTGATCATTTTGCATGTGGTATGGACAATAAGCTAGTCCTTTAAGTCTGCTAGCTGGATCCTCCTAGAAGAAAGTAATAAAGGTTTTTATTTTTTTCTCCTTTCAGATGAAGAAGAGAGGATAATAGAAACAATAGTTGCACTGTTAAGACAAACAGGGGATAAACTGGAAGAAACGGTAATATATATACACTATGGGGCTGTGCCCTCTGCTTGCTACGCTCGCCAACCTCCCCCACCCCGCACCCAGCTGCTTTCGCTTTGCTGAGAGAGCCTGTTGACACTGATGACATCATTCTGTCACCCAGCAGGAACATTATCTATATGGGGTTTTTAATGGGCAGGAAGCTATGTGTATATTCCATTATGCATTTGCCAGTAGTTAATGCTATGAATAAGGTTGCAAAACCATTTCTGTTCTGAACCCTTATTTTCACACATTTCTCCAGATGCTCCCCACGCTTCCATTTGTAAACTTTTGAAAACTTTATTTTTACTGCGTTTACATCTCATTTCATGACTTTGATGTGTGAGTTGCATGCAAGATTTATCCCTGTCATATAGGGTGATATGTTCGGATGCTAGGGTCTGCAAATCTGTATTTATTCATTTATTTATTCATGCCATGTAAACGCAAATAAATTGTTTCCTCTAAGCTTAGGAACTTTTTAATTTTAAGAATAACTGAAAGGTACCGACATCAAAACCTGAAACGTTTTTACAGGTTGGACCTCCCTGGTCTGGCCCCCTCAACACCAGACTAGTCTGAGATGAGGAATTTTTGTGAGCCATGTGAGGTCGTTTCAAGCCTCCTGCTGCCAGCACCCCCTCACAGGCTTCCTGGCTCCCCCTGCAGTCCAGCTGAGCCACACACTGGCTCCTGGCCCCTCCCCAGCCCAGATGAGCCATGTGCCAGCTCCCAGCCCCCCTACCCCCTGCTGCCCAACTGAGCCACATGCCAGCTTCCAGGCCCCCACCTTCCTGCAGCACACTAGAACTCTCTGATCCTGGAACATCCATGGTCATGCTGGACCATGTATGTTCCCAGACCAGAGAATCCTGGCTTTTAGAGGTACAACCTGTACTTCAGTCTATTTTCCTTTTGTCGTTAACAATACAAACAATACGTTAAGGCTGGTGTCACCCTTCTCCCTCCATGAGCCTGGAACCTCAGGCAGTCATGTGGGTCACCTGCCCCAGGAAATTAAACAAATACTCTCTGACCTTATAGTTGTAGAGGGGAAATCTTTCGAGTTTTAGTGTTTGAAAATTCTACCCTGAGCTTGTGCAATGAGCCTCTGACAGGGGTTGAGCTGAGACAGGGGTTTTCAGCATTAAAGATGTCTCTGCCAATTAACTCCTGTAGCTGGTAGTGGGAGTAGACTCTTGTCCTCTACACTGACAAGCCACCCAGAAGGAGGACATGTTAGACCTTGACCCAATAGGTTTCATATATAGTCAGTCATGTCATTGAGAGCACAGTCCTGTGCACTTTACTCATGCAAGTAATCCCTGCTAAAGTCAATGGGACTGTGTGAATAAAGTAACTCCTCTGTGTAAGTTTGATAACTCATGGGTAAGTTTGCAGGATCAGCCCTTAAGCCTGAAAGCGCAGACTTCTCCAGGAATGTGGTCCAACAACAAAGAAGTTGTTGAATGCAGACTTCATAGAAACACTAGGATGGACTTTACTTTTCTAAGCACTACGTTCCCCCTCAGTAAAACTCCCTGTATTATTTACCAATAGCTATAATGGACTAATTGTTATCCTCATTTTCAGATAAAACAGGACAAAACTTTCTACTGCTGCATCACGAAGATGCTCTCCTATTCCTTCTTCAAGAAACTCACTGATCAGTACCTGGAGGAAGTCCCACAAGGTTCCACCAAGGAGACGGAAGACAAAATACAATGCACCAAAGCTGCCTTTGCGATGGAAGTTACGACCAGACTTACCGCCGTGGACAACCACCCAATGAATGCGGTTCTGGGGTTTGGAGTGAAGTACCTCAAAGAACATTTTAGCCCTTGGATTCAGACCCATGGTGGATGGGTATGCGATTTATTTCTTTAGAATTATAGGCTTGCCCGCCTATATGCAATGAACTTTTTTGGATGGAAAACGGATGTTAGAAAATTGTATTGCTCAGATATCTTTGTTTAGAGGATATGAATAGTCAGGGACTATATTACGTGACATAACCAACTCTTACTTGTGATCCCCCTCACACAAGACCTCTCAATCTTTCCACAGTAAGGCCCAAATTCTCAGAGAGATGTGTTACTGATTTCAATTGGAGTCAGGAACCTTTGAGGATCTGGGCTATAGTCCTTTAACCCTGCCATGTGACCAACCAGCATGGCCCCCTTCGACCATGTAGATTCCTAATTCTCAACATCCTTGCTCCTGAAAGTTCCTTAGTCTCTCTTCAGTCTCAGGTTTCTGCCCTCTCTCCTGCGGAATGCATTCCCACTTCTGTGCCCCTAACAGCATCTCTCCTTTCAACTACATCCTTAGAGGCCATCGTTTTACAAAGCCCTCCTTTAGGCAGATTTCCTCCCCAGCAAGGCCTCTGCCCCCAAGCTGCTGCCCCCATAACTCTTGTGCCTGCATGTGGTTGCATGCTCCTCGGGCAAAGGGCCTTGTCATTATGTGTTCTGCAAGGCAGCGTGCTCAGCTGAGATGCTGTATAAATATGTTGCAGCTGTAGACGCTGCAGCAATTGATTGCTGGCATGTGCAGAGGTGTGGTAGATGGGGCCCACTGGTCAGCAGTGGAGGAATCCATTGTTCTGATGCACACATTGACAGCATTTGAAAGGGGGTTATGGTCACACCTCATAATTTACCTGGTCCTTTTCTTCTCTTGCAGGAAAAAGCCATGGAATTGTTGGACCAGGAAGAAGTAGAATAAACCTTGAGCAGATTCACTCTCCAGGGCATTTAATGGCCTTGGCCAGGCAGACAGGTAGCTTTACAACAGTGCAATGCCAGAGTGACTTGAAAGAGGATGACTGAGGAGGAGAGGGCAAGGACACTGAGGTCCTTTAAAGGAAGGAAGTGTGATTACTCTTCAAACCTTCTGTTAATGTGAAAAGTAAATCAACATGTAGGAAAATAAGACTAGCTCCTTTTCTCAGGGCAAGTAAATACCTCACTGGCGCTAGTGGGACACCATGTGGCTTATCTGACTTCAGATGCCTTTTTAAGCACTTTCATGGACGTATCTTAAGGTTCAGGTGGAAAATACCAATGTGTATAATCAATGCCAAGAAACCCGTGAGTGTAACCGAGCTACAGCTTCAAGACTTGATTTTTTTTTATGTGCTCTGAACCCACTTATGGGGCTGGGTTTTTCCACAGAGGTTATCAGGTTAAATGCGGCATGTGCTTTTCAGCAGCTGGCCTTTACTGCCACCATTTCCCCACTTACAATTACCTTGTCTCTTGCTCCTGCCATATACAGGAACCTGGATACAGGCCCATCCACTCTGTCTCCCACTCCCTGTCCAATTGGACCCTGTAAATGAGCAACCCCATTGATTGTGGTGGACTCTGTCCTCCTAAGCATTAATTTGGTTAGTAGTCCAGAAAATACTAGTATTGTGAAGGCCAAGTAATTCACGGAATTTAAATTGACCTTTGAATAGCAAGGAAATTTAGCCCGGTAGATTAGGTAAAAGGTAGATTAGGAAAACATCTGATGAAACAGTTAGTAACCAGATTTGGAACTTTGACCAGTGAGAAGGAGCAATATAACTATAGTGCCTGACTCCAACTCTTATAATGGAGAGAATAAATATACAAGGGATGTGGCATTTAGATGAAGCACAACTGCCAGTGAAACCACTCCCATTCCTGTTCCTTGAGCTGTAGCCCACAAGGCTGACACTTAACTGGAAAGGGGAGAAATTTGGAACACTAACTGAAGTTGCAAAATCCTGGAGTTCCCTGCATTATTCTCCAAATAGTTACACTTTGTTGAAAGACTCTCCCTTTATATCTCCTCATTCTCCATTCGTTGTAGTCACAGGAGACTACTCTGTTGAAAGACTCTCCCTCTATATCTCCTTATTCTCCATTCGTTGTAGTCACAGGAGACACTGTAAATGTTGGCTAGAGGAAAGAACATGCTAACTTCTAAACAGCCAATTAATCTGAATTAAAAGACCAGAAAGACTTTAAATTCTGTGAAAATATGCCAGTCTTTGAGTGATAATCAAGAACCAACAGGGATCAAGTATCTTTCTAATACATTATTTAAATTAACCTTGAAGACCTGGTGTAACAAGCTGTCTCTAGCCTCAGCTACCCTGGGCCTTAGTTTTCCAAAGCGATTTGTGATTTTTTAATTTCTTAATTTGACTCTGCTAAAAAAAAAAAAAGGGCCTGAGGGTTTTGCTGTTTTCTTATGACCAGCCCTCCTCACCTGTGTGGCAACTCTGATAAGTTAGGCCACAGCCATAGATCATCCAATAGCTGGTGTAATACAGCATGCACAATGTGACTGCAATGGTGAGGTGCACCCTGGAGTGAGCGTGGAATTTAGTCCAATCAGCTCATGGCCTGAGCCAAGTGCATAAGGCTAGAGCTGTATTTGCTTTAATGTGTGCTTTGGCCATGCAAGGACCAGTTTATTATTAAGTAAGCTGGATCCTGAGTGGGGGGAGAGCTATTTATTTTCACTTCCTTGACTCTGTCTAGTGGTCAGCAGGTCTGCACAGTGTTGTTTTTAATGTGCTGCAAGTGAACTAGCAGCACTAGATTCCCCATCCCTCTTCTGGGGTGGAGCTGCTAGTGCATGAGTTGCTCACCAAGAACAACAGAGAGTAGAAAGTTGCCTTGAATGTGACAGTGACGATGAGGCAGCCAGAAATAAGCAGCTGCTCTTTATTTTGCTCAGTGATCGTGGGCTGGAACAAGAGGGGTTTTTTCCTCCAGTAGCGGCTGCAGGGATCAGTGCAAAGGTCTGTCACCCCCTGGCACTAGAGACAATGGCTTTGGTTCACTGTCGTGTACACAATTACACATTGTTCTTGTAATTTCATTAATTGAAAAATGTCCTTGCTGAGTCAAACAGGGGTTATCCCTGATGAATAAAAAGTGCAATTATAAAACTACTTGTTTTGGGGGTTTTTTGGCTGGGGGGGAGGGGGGCTAACAGTTACCCTATTTGGTGCCGTTATCTCTAAGCCTACCCAAGGATCTGCATTCCAGTCTTGAGAGGGGGTTCCCTGTGGCTCTTACCACTGACATTGTGTGTATGGGGCAGAGGGGTTTTATTGAGTCAGACAGTGCCTTGTGGGAGGGTAGCTCAGGTAGGTTTAACCAGAGCAGCATTTTCCTAGAGAAACAAAATCAGCTTTAAAATGGGGGGGAGAGGGGAGAACTGAGGTGTTCAAGTTGCAAAAGCCATGTTTAGAAATGAGCACAACTGGCACCAGGATGACTTTTGTTCAAAGGGTAATAACTGTTCCCTCCAGGAGGCATAGTCCCAAGCCCTACACAGTGGTCATGTTAGTATTTATCACCTGAGGCTAACGCAGGGCTAGGCAAGATGCAGCCCAGGGACCAGGTCTGGCCTGCCTGACACTTTTATCTGGCCCATGTCCTGCAGCTGGCTGCTTTGTTTATATCCTGCTGCCCATGCCACCAAATTTCCAGGTGGCAGCACACGCCCCAGGAGCCTGTTTACATGGCTCACCGTTGCAGTGCTACCCCGGCAGGGGCTGGAGCACCAAGCTTTTAAAATAGCCCCAGCAACATGCTAGCAGCGGGGCTGGGAGCTATGAGCCCTTTGCTCTGTTTTTAATTCAAAGCCTCTGGCCTCAGACAACTCTTGGGGGAAGCTAGTCCCCAGCCCTGCCCCAGCCCCCACCCCCTTCTGGGAGTGGAGCTGTCCCATGACCTCATATCAAAACTCATTAAGGCTCCCCTCCCTCTGCAAAAATGATTGTCCACCCCTAAGCCTACCCATGAGTCCCCTCTATGGCTGTGTCTACACTGACAGCTTCTTGCGCAAGAACATCTTGCACAAGGGGTCTTATGCAAGAAAACATCCACACTGCCATGTGCAAGTTGTGCTTTTGTGCAAGAGCATCCATGGCAGTGTGGATACTCTCTTGCGCAAGAAAGCTCTGATGGCCATTTTAGCCATGGGGCTTTCTTGCACAAGAAACCCCTGCGAGCGTCCACACTGCCCTCTTGCGCAAGAGCTCCTGTGCAAGAGGGCTTACACCTGTTTAAAAAAGGAGTGTAGGTCTTGCGCAAGAAGTCCTGGCTTACCACGCCGTACTGTAAATCTTCTTGTGCAAGAGCAGGTGGGCAGTGTGGATGCTTTCTGGAAGAACAGCCATTCTTCTGCAATAACCCACCAATGTAGACATAGCCTGTGGGTCTAGATGGACAGCCGGCATATAGATGCAAGGGTCTCTGCAGTGGGTATGGTGACTACTGTACTAGCTTATGCAGAACAGGAGGTGCTGAAGAGATACCTCAGAACAAACATTTCACCTCTCCGTTATGTACCACTATACTTTTCAGAGACCAGCAGCATGCTCAATTCCAAGAGCTATCTAGCTATGCATATGTGAGTGTGGAATTTAGTCCAGTCAGCTCATTGCCTGAATCAAGTGCATAATGCTAAAGAGGTACTTAGCCTACTGTACATTTTGGCCAAGCAAAGACCAGTTTATTATTCCACAATGTATTCAGCGTAGCAAATGTTAAAGCACAGGGCCCTAGCTGCATAACAGCCTGTGATCACAGCTTTCCTGGCCAGCCATCTCCTTTGCCTTTGTGGGAGGACAGCTCTCCTCCTGGGTCCCTGGTAGGCAAATCAGCAAGATAAAACAGAGAACTAGGAGTTTGGGGAAAGGGGAAGAGAAACTCAATAGGCAGCATTGTCCAAAAAGGAAACATACTGGCTAGAGCTAGTTGTATTAAAAAGGCTCGTGATTGGGAGTTAAAAGTTCACAGCTAATTGGAGAGAGAGAGAAAAAACACGTGTGAGTGACAACTTCCCCCACCTGCATCAATCCAGCTGAGAGCATTAAAGCTGCTTTGTGTAGGAGATGTGCTACATGTTGCAGTTACATCAAATGCAGCTGAGGGGTGCCAGGAAGTGCAGCTTTATGTCTGATGCCCAGCACAATGGGAGGCAGGGCCTTATGATCCTGACTGGGGTTCCTGGAATAAAGGTGTTAAATGCTAATCAACCAATACTAGAGCGGGAGAGACTGACCGTGCAGCTGTCTGCCACAACGCTCTCACAGTGGGCACAGGCAGAACGGGAGGCGTTTCAATCCTCCGATGTGGACAGTCCCCCTTGAAGTGTCTCACTTTCTGCGGTTCGTCATGCCCCTGAAGGGGGAGTGGCAGGCAGCAGTACTGATGCAGAAGAGCATTCCTACTAGGCCCAGCCCCATCTCCTGTAACAGTTCTGCTGTACCTCAGCCCTAGCACAAATGCTGTTCTGGCTACTTGAGGGCACAGAAAGGGGTGGGGATGCTGTCGTGAGGAAATGGCAGGACTGCCCGGGTCTCTAGGAGACTTGAATTTGCCATTGTCTCGCTCCTCTGCTCAGACCAAACGCCAAAGCCGGCCTCTTCTGCACCTCTCACCAGTGTTATGTTCTGAAAGGCAGGGTGAGGAGGCCCCACATCAGCAAAGGGCTCACCTTGCCCCGCCCCACTGTGCCTGCAACCAATGCCTGACCTGGAAGGGAAATAAAAGGAGAGAGGCTGGCTCAGTTCAGGGCTGACAGATCATGAAGAAGCTTGGCCTGTAAGTGGGCCTGCTGGCTGGGGCAACCAGGGGGGAGGAGCAGTTAGACAGACAGATGTGTGTGCGCACAAACACATTTTCCTACCTACCTTCCCCCCCCCCCCACACACACACAGGGAATGGGCACTGCACAAGTAGAAGAAAAGGCAAGAATGGCCCCTGGGAATGCTAGCGGGCAGCCCCATATTAAGGTGGACAGCAGGGATAGATTGTTGCCCAGGGAGACCCATGGTCACATCACAGCTAGGGGTGTGAAAAGTTAACCCTAAACATTACTCTTCTGGATGACCACAGTAGCTGCCACCTGCGATGCCTCCAGGCATGTTGCAGACAGGGCTGGGCTTGATTTAGTTGGGATTGGTCCTGCCTTGAGCAGGGGGCTGGACTTGATGACCTTCTGAGGTCTCTGCCAGCTCTATGGTTCTATGAGCAGCCTCTGCCTGCAGCGGAGGGGCCATATCAGCCCGGTCTTGGCGGGCCAGGGGACACTCCAGCCTAGTGGGGTTGAAATAGCCCCCACCCTCGCCCCGTTCCCTACCCACATTCCCTTCAATTGGTTAAACGTCACATTAACCAATTAAATGGGATTTTATATCCCTAGTCACAGCCCACAAGGGGATGCTGCTTCAGCCACTAGCAGCAGGACACACAGAGAAGCAAGTTATGGGAGAGAGTCAATTTTCTCTGCTAGCTGACTGCTCCCGTGGAAAGTAAGTGCCTTAAACCAGCATGTCCCACACTAAACACACGCAGATGTGCCGACCATTCTCTGTATTTAACAGCTGGTTAAACCCCCCCCCACAGCCCTGGTGAATTCAAGAAGCCAGGGCCTGGTTTGCCCTTAAATCTTAGCATCACCGAGCTATGGTGCTTGGGGCTAGTGTCAACTTAACTACCCAGGCTGGGGCAGAGTGTTGTGGTGGAAAAGAGGATGCTGGCTCTGGGAGGGGCTCCAAGTTGGGGCAGAGTATTGGGGTGCAGGTGGAGGAGTGAGATGCAAGCACCCAGGTCAAGGGGGAAAAAACCCTGAATGCTTATGGGAAACAGGGCTTTCCCTTTCACTCCAACATGCAAGACAGCTGCCTCCCAGGCTGGAGGACCAAGAGAAAACCTGTGTGGGTGGGCATGACACAGGGCATGGTGCAATTTGCTTGACTACAACCCTGGTAATGGGGTGGTCTGGGCTGTTGCTTAACTCTGTGCTCCTAGCTGAGGCCCTGTCTTCTCAGTGCTCA